ACATACTAAAATATGGAGCATAAACACAAGGGTTATAGCTCAGCTAGGTAGAGCACCTCATTTACACGCGCGCCAATGTTTTTCAGGGGAGTCCATCATGCAATCAAAAGAATGCATCTTTTTTAAAAATCGATGTCTTACTCTAGGCTTTGAGGAAACAAAACAAGAGAATAATAGCCTGACAATGAACTCTAGTTTGGTCCAATTCAAGTGTCTATTTAGTAACCAAATAGAACCCATTATTGATTTGACATATTGATAGGGTGAATACCCAACCTATTCAATGCTAGGCATAATGAGTATAAAGGCAAAAAAAAAAAAAAAATCTCTTTTTCGTCCTATGACCTTTAAGGTGTATGAAGTATCATATTTGATTCTTTAAGCAAAATGATAGAGACTCCATTTAATTTTTAAGTTCAGCTAGGCCAAAGGCAGACCTATGTCAAGATAACTCTACTTTGAAAAACTTTGGTAGTGCTTTTGAAGCAAAGGTCAAATGAATAATGAATCTAAGCACACGAAACCATTTTCTTTCTATAAAGAAAAATATAGTAGACTAGATTATATTTATATCAATTAATAAAAAAGCCCAATGCAAAAAAAATGCATGTTAGGTTTTTGAAACATTTCAAATCATTTTGAGAATACAAAGTTTGATCTATTTTACCGAGAAGGTCTACGGTTCGAGTCCATATACCCTACTAAATACTACGTATATAGTAATGAGTATTACTAATTTTTTAAAACTATATAGTTTAATAAATTAGTAATATTTGATTGTTAGTTAAAACCAATCAACCGCAATCGATTGGAAGAAATGGATCTAGGAACACCCTACTTAGATTTGTTTAGTATAATTTGATTTGGAGCCAAGCCTGGGTTTGAATTTGAAAAGAAATTTCATTGGAAACATTGTTAAAGAGACTTTTCGATTTCATACATATACCTTCCCTATCAAAGCGTAAAACAAGTAGTCTTTTTTTTCTTTTTCTTATACAATCAACATAAACAACTCTGCTCGAACTCGATTTTTTTAAAAAAAAAAATATACCAACCCGATTCCAATCCTAAAATCGAAGTTCTTAACATTCTCTTACGCGTGAATTTTCTCTTCTGAGAAAAAAATTCTTTCTTTCAATATAATACTTCATTAATATTTAGTTAATAATATGACAGTTGTATCTAGATGCTTATTCTGACAAGAAATGTTCAATTTTTTTCATCAAATAATGACTATTTGTCGATTTTTTTCATGCGAATGGGGGGCAAGAAAACTCTATGAAAACACTATGAATTTGATCTTGTCTAAAAAAGAGTTAGAACACAAATACATGTGTGGATTAAGTAAATCAATGGACAGTCTTGGTCCTACTGAAAATACCTGTACAACGGAAGATTCAAGTCTAAATGATACAGGAAAAAAACATTCATAGTTGGAGAAATATGACAGTTCTATTTATTGTAATGTTGATCATTTAGTTCGCGTCATGGACATTCGGAATTTCATCTCTTATACTCTTTTTTTACTTATAGATAGTAAAGGGAACGATTATTCCTTATACTTCGATATTGAAAATCAAATTTTTGAGATTGAAAAAGATTTGTCTTTTCTGAATGAACTACAAAGTTCCTTTTCGAATTATTGGAATTCAAGTAATTTGAACTTTAGATCTAAGAGTGGCAATACTTATAATGATCATTCCATGGATTATATTGAAGATAGTTGGAATAGTCACATTAATAATTTGCATTGCCAATTATCTTCATTCTCAAATCCGTAGTGGCAATTCCATCCTAAGTGATAGTGACAATTATAGTGATAGTTACATTTTAAGTTACTTTTTAATGAAAGTGGAAATACCGGCGAAAGTTTCAGTAAAAGAATTATCACGAACTACAGTAATTTCCCTAAAATAAAAAATTCTACTAATCTTGATGTAACTCAAAAAATATAAACATTTGTGGGTTCAATGCGAAAATTGTTATGCATTAAATTACAAGAAATTACTTTAGTAAAAAAAATGGGTATTTGTGAACAATGTGGATATTATTTAAAAATGAGTAGTTCAGATAGAATCGAACTTCTGATTGATCCTGGTACTAGGAATCCTATGGATGAAGGTATGGTCTGTATGGATCCTCTCGAATTTCATTCAGAGGAGGAAGCTTATAAAGATCGTATTAATTCTTATCAAATAAAGACAGGTTAAATTGAAGCTGTTCAAACATGTATAGGTCAACTAAACGGTATTCCTGTAGCAATTGGTGTTTTGGATTTTCAATTTATGGGAGACAGTATGGAATCCGTAGTAGAGAAAAAGATCACCTGATTGATTGAGTATGCTGCCAATAAATTAATCCCCCTTATAATAGTATGTGCTTCGGGGGGGGGGCACGCATGTAAGAAGAAAGCTTGAGCTTAAAGCAAATGGTGAAAATTTCGTCGGTTTTATATGATTATCAATCAAATAAAAAGTTATTTTATGTATCAACCCTTACATCTCCTACTACTGGTGGGGTGACTGCCAGCTTTGGTATGTTGGGGGATATCATTATTGCTGAACCGAACGCCTACATAGCATTTGCGGCGGGTAAATGAATAATTGAGAAAACATTGAATAAGAAAGTACCTAAAGGGTCACAAGCAGCCGAATTTTTATTCCATAAGGTTTTGTTCATTCGATCCAATCGTACCACATTATCTTTTAAAAGGCGTTCTAAGTGAGTTATTTCAGCTGCATGCTTTTTTTTCCTTTGAATAAAAATAAGGGCGAGGATAAAAGGGCAATTTTTATATTTCTGTCAAAAAGCTTTTTTGACACAAAATTAGGATGTCGCGAACCAAAAACCTCCATGCTTATTTCCTTTAGATTCCATTAAAAACAACTTTTTGTTTGTATCTTTCGTCGGGGAGTCTTTATTTAAAATACCTCTTAGATTGAACTCTAACGACTGCTTTGGAAATTGAATTTGTAATAAATCCTCTAGTTTTCGATTTTCTTGAATTAGTAAAAGCAAAAGAAAGAAAAAAAAATGAGAAAGTAAACACGATTATCATATATTATATGTAGAAATCGAATTGCTTTTTTAGTTCTATATTTCTTGTACTTATTCTATAATATATTCATTCTATAGAACTCTAATGAATTAATTTTAATATAATACTCCCTCCGTCCCCAATTGATAGTCACTTTTACCATTTTTGATGACTCAAAATGTTAGTCACATTTGCTTTTTTCAAGTACCATAAATATTATTTTTTTTTACCAAAATTCTCTAACATTTGCAAAAATATTTGTGCAAATTTAACTTTCCCATGTACTTTAATTACTTTCTCTCTCTACTTTTTTGCATTCTTAATGTAAATTTACTTTTTCAATGTATTTTCTTTAATTCTCCTTAATTCCCGTGATTTTTATTCAAAAGTGACTATCAATTGGGGACATAGGGAGTAAAATAATAACAACAAAAATATAACAAAAAGGTACAATTACAATATCGTAAATCGAGGTACCGGTCTATGACAACTATGAACTTTCCCTCAATTTTTGTGCCTTTAGTAGGCCTAGTATTTCCAGCAATTGCAATGGCTTCTTTATTTCTTCAGGTTCAAAAAAATAAAATTGTTTAGATCGTCTTGTCAAAATCTCATTTTTAAAAACTTAGACTTGAATTATAATACAGATATATGTTTAGCGGAATGGTATAACACATGATTTGTTCTGAACATAAATGAACGAACTCTTATGTATGTGATGTAAACGGCAAAAATGACAATACAATATTAGGGGTAGATGTTATTATTTTGATCGAACTATAAGAAAAAATAGAAAGAAATAAAAGTGAAACACCTATGACATCAAAATAGGATTAGTTGATGAGAGTTACATCGGAACAAGACAGAGTAAGAAAAGTACAATTCATTTGGTGTATTCTTTCAATTCAAATTAAATGCAACCAGATCTAATATGAATTGATGATTAGAACGTATATGGGTAGAACTTATAACGGGATCTCGAAAAATAAGTAATTTCTGCTGGGCCTTTATCCTTTTTTTTCGGTTCATTAGGATCCTTGTTGGTTGGAATTTCCAGCTATCTTGGTAAGAATTTGATATCTTTATTTCCTCCGTAGCAAATTCTTTTTTTTCCACAAGGGATCGTGATGTCTTTCTATGAGATTGCCGGCCTCTTTATTAGCTCATATTTGTGGTGTGCAATTTCGTGGAATGTGGGTAGTGGTTATGATCGATTTGATAGAAAAAAGGGAATAGTCTGTATTTTTCGCGCGGGGATTCCCTGAAAAAAAAAAATTATCGCATCTTTTTCCGATATCTTATAAAAGATATTCAGTCTATTAGAATAGAACTTAAAGAGGGTATTTATACTCGCCGTGTTCTTTATTTGGAAATCAGAGGACAAGGAGCTATTCCTTTAACTCGTATTGATGAGAATTTGACTCCACGAGAAATGGAACAAAAGGCGACTGAATTGGCCTATTTCTTGCGTCTACCAATTGAAGGATTTTGAAAAATGAACGGAAATACCGAACGTTTTCTTAACTTGACGTAAAATACAAAATCTAGAATACGTTTTTCTATGGCATACCTTAATATAATTTTCATTAGAACGCCCACTCGGGTCAAAGCAAACGTATACAAAACAATTGACATGTGATAAACATATTTTGTGTATCTCAGACATTAACTTGTATTTACCCATTTTAAAAGGCCTAAGATTAAAAATTAACACAGGGCCCTAAATACTTGAGACGACCCTGATCCAAATGTTGATAAGCAATTGAGCATAGTGTGTTACAATGTTCCTCATTAATTACCATATAAAAACTTGTCATAGTGTGAATCAAATTTTACCCAACTCAACCTGAACCCGACTTATAAGTCAGAAAAAACCGACATAATCCGACTTGAATTTGACACGAAACTTGATATGACCTAGCTGAACCCTACTTAAGAGTTAAGATCATGGACAATTTTTTGTTTAGACTAAACCCACCATATATAAATTGCGTGAAGCTCAACAAAGTTTAAAATCCATTCTGCTATCGATCCTGCAGACTAGCAGAAACTTACGAGCTCATCAATGGAAGAAGAAGCAACAACAATGGATTTCTCTCTTCTCACTGACGCAATTGCTTCCAAATCCTACGACAAAATCGCTGATATGTGCGACAATTTGATGCTTCAGGTATGCTTCTCCCTCTCTTTCTTCTCACAATTTCCCAACAAAAACCTCCGAATTTCATCAATTCATCGCTTTTTTTGTTGTAGGTTTCAGCAGAAGGTGTTAATTTCCAGAACGACTGGCCTTACGCAGTTCATCTATTAGGGCACATTTATGTTGGGGACATGTTAGTTTATTCGTCAAATTTGGGTTCGAAGGTTTGAATTTGTTTTCGATAAACCCTAATTTTGGTTATTTTATATGTTAACAGTAATAGCGCGAGGTTTGTTTGGAAATCTATGCCATTGGCGATTAAAGAGAATCAGCCGGAGGTGATTGCAGTTTGTGTAATTGGTCAGAGGCTTTGGACTAGGGATTATGCTGGTGTTTATGAAGCTATTCGTTCTTTTGACTGGAGCCCTCAAATTCAACCCATTGTTGCTGCGTTTTCGGGTTAATCTTTTACTTGTTTACTTGTCCTCTTTTAATAGTGTACTGCTGAATTATGTATATTTGGGATGATGATTGATTATTGTTTATATATGTTATGATTTAGTAATATGTGAACTTTGCCATTGGCTGCCGTAAATCAATTAAATTGGTTTTAAATCGTGATTTATTGAAAAACCACCTATCACCTATCGGCTAATCTCATAGAATACACCAGATTGAGTTAAGGAGGAAGAGTGTTGTTGTTGTTGGTGGTGGTGTTATTGTTGTATTGTATGTTTGGAAAGTATTGAAAGTAAATGGACTTTCTATGGAGGTAGTCTTAGCCTTAGAATTCACAAAAACTATGGGGTCTAAGTGTTTTATTTATGAATGAGAATGAATGGTGAAGAGGCTACTTCTTATAAGAGACATGGAGTTCTGCTTCTTTGTCATTTTTTTTTATGATTTGTTACAAAGTCTGGCTTAGTAGATTGGCATACATTGTATTTTGAAATTTTTTAGTTTCGTTCGAACAATAGCTATTAGTCAAGCGTGCTGAGTTTTTCCTTTTTATTATAGTTATTTGATTTTGTATTGAATTGACATTATCCTAATCTCAAGCATAGTTTATGCCTTTGAGAAATTCTTCTAATAGCTTGAAGCAACTTAATGGTCCTATATCAGTTTTGAAAGAATATATACTACCCCTGTTACAGGTTATGTGCAAAGTGATAGTTGTTTTTGTGCCTGAAAGTAGGAATGGCTATGTGGATAAGATGTTTCCCTCTTGTAGTCGTCTTTGGGATCATGGTTGTTAAGCTTGTCAAATTAACTTAATTTCATAAACTCTTTGTCCAGCTCTACACATTTTATTCCCAATTAGTTTTAGGCCCGAGCGATGTCTCAGGTCATTTTTTGTATATAAAAAAATTATAATAAATTAAAGTGAAATTTATTGATGGTTTTATAATTTTTATTTTATTTATTTATTTATTATTTATTTTTGGTAATTATTATTAAACATTAACAAAATTCATTAAGAAATATGCAGTAACCGAACTTTTATACTTCAAGGAATTTTTATCTATCATTAAAAATTTCTTCAAGGTAAACACATATTGTGGTTTTGAAATTGCTATGTATTTTTGTGTAACATAATTTAAATACATAAAACCTATATGAATTATGGATGGGTAAATGAAAGAATGAGATTATATTAAACTATATATATAAGTTCAATTAATAATTTAGAATTTATGAACATAAAATTTTTGTGAGGAAACATTGATGATCGTTTTTAATATGACATGACCCCACATTATTTATAAAGTCATGACGACACGTGGCAAGAATAACGACATGTGGCAAGAATGACGACACGTGGCAAGAATAATGGCACGTGGCATGATTACAATTCTTGCCATGAGTTTTAATGTATATATAGATTTAATGTTTTATTATTTTACTATCAAAATATTCTTAGGAGAGTAAGAAAAGTGAAGAATGGTAGTTGTTGGTTGGTGATAACAAACAACAACGACAAAAACAAAAAACCTTAGTCTTTAAGTGATTTGGGTCAGTTGACATGAATTGTCATAAGGAATTGCCCTAAAATAAAAAAGAGCATAGCAAGATAATTAATTGAATAAAAGCTGGAAAAAATAGTGTAAATTGAGAAACAAAAAGACTATACAAATAATAATGACGAGAGTTCTATATTATTTTTAATATATATGTTGGTTATGGCATTATGCTTATTTTTTGTTATTACTCTTGAAGTTCATTGTTGTAAATTGTTCGTAATTATGGTCTGCTAGTTGATGAATTTATTAGATTTTCTATAGTTGTTGCTTTTGAAAGTTATCTTTAATGTGAGTTAATCTCGGTACGATATGTAATTTGCTACGTATTTTTGTAAATTTGGCCAAAACTACCATTTTTAGGGTGTAGATTTCCTTTTTTAGTATGTGGTATTAGGAGGATTAGAGTATTGGTTAATTTTGCTTTTGAAAACAAAAAGATATTATCTATAATATTTTTCAACACTTTAGGCATTTGGTGTTCACTTAAAATGCCTAAAAACACCCTTACATTATATGAGCTCTTTTTAAATTGTATTTTTTTTCAGTGCTAACTATAGTATGGGTTGTTGTAAATATATTCTGTAATGTAAAGCACCTGTTGCGTGCATCTAAATCTAATTAAGTGATAATCCGACACTATTCTATTGAATTTTTCATATAAAGTTAGCAAATTAATCATACTTTTCAAAAATGGGATTCTTTGTTCTTTTAACTTAATTGTTACAAAGTATTACTTATTCTTGTTAAAATCAGATTAGATCGAACCAAAACGGAAAAATCTTGACCTACTAAAGATGAATTTAACAAGATCTATCATGATGTTGTTTCTTTTAAAAATTCAATTAGACTAGACTTTTGCAGAGACTTAGATTTGGAATCTGGCACTCCATATTTTATAAAATTTTATATAAGGCTACTATGTATTTAGGTGTCGTGTCATATGTGTTGGACGATACAACACGCGACACCTGACGTAAAGCAAGGTGTTGAAGTAACATAGCTTGAACACTTTGTTTCAGGTGAGGAGAACAAAGCCTAAACATTCTCTTCAAAGATGTAATGATTTTTGTTTAATTTTTTCTCCAATCAAGTGATGCTTTTTTGAGTTTTAATCCTTTTCAATGAAGGCTATACACAAGGAACTTGTAGTACATTATCATCATCATCAAGAGACATTCTCATGGTTGGCAAAGCTTGTGATGATAATGGCCTTATCTTGTTAGCATTTTTGACTTTTCTACAAGAAAAATTGGACACAATAGAGTCATCTTGTAAAGAAAAAAAAAAGGTATCTGTGTAGGCTGACTTCATGGTTAGTTTTTCTATTGAATTAATTTGCCTTGTTTGAGTGCTAAGACTAACACTTACCTTGATAAACAAGAACAAACTAACAACTGAATTCCATTCCAATATTTAAGGAGAAAACAAATGCATGTCCATGAGAAAATGGAAAAAAAAAGTTTTGTTTGGCAAATTGTAGGAGCCACTTTGTAAAAATGCCTATTCTTTAGTTTGTATTTTGCCAAACAAGGTAAACAGAAGTCAGATGTACCTTTGGGAACATATTTCTGAGTCAGATGAGCAATTGATGTCACTGGAGGCAAAAATTGATTAAATATTTTAAAAAGAATGAAGTTCTCTCGGTATAGAGGATTATGATTAATTAGTCACTCAATCTATAAGTGACTACTTCCTACTTGTTTACCAACTGCGTTTGTTACAAATAGTTACCCCTCTATAGCCCTGTCTTGTACTTCCTCCGTTCTTTTATTATTGCACCACTTGCCTTTTTAGGAAGTTTCACAAATATTGCACCATTTCCTCTTTAGGAAAAAAATTGTTTGTGTTCACACTACAAATACCCAACATACCCTTGCTTTTCACACTTACTTTTTAATTTATAAATATGTCACATGGGCAATTTTGTATTTTTACCTTTCTCTCTCTTACTTTTTTTCACTACCAAAATATTTGTACCCAACCCCTATGGTGCAATAATAAAAAAACGGAGGAAGTATTAATTTTCTTGTGTAGTGATTGATTGATTTTATGGGAGTATCCTTTTATATTATTTTGGCCATTAGCAATATACTTTATTGGTATATTAAATTCTTTTGGTTTATTAGAATTGGAAACTTGACAACTATCACAGGACATCTAAAAAGGAAAATTTTGCAACTATTATGTGATGGAGAGTAGCATTTTGAATCAAGTTCTAAATTTCTACATGGTCATTTTATGCAAAACCACTTATTAGAAAACTCTTTGTGAAAAAAAAAAAAAAACACTTGTACAAAGTGACACAATAAGGAAACGAAAGTTGAATCTTATGGAATAAAGAAAATGCTAATAGCAGATACTATTTGTACAATACTTAAATTATGGTTATAAATATATAGGGAGTAAACTTACATTTGCGGTTTTTAAGGTCATTTTTAAAATTTTAAATGCACACATCTTTGTAAAATACTTTAATAATGGTTATAAATATTTAAGGAGTAAACTTACATTTGTGGTTTTTGAGGTTCAATTTATAATTTTAAATGCACACATCTATGACATTCTTAAAGTTTTCTAGGGCTCTAAGCCAGTAGGCACCCAACATATTGGTTACCAATGGCACTTGAATTTTCATTTGGGAATGACTGACACGTGGTATCTTTTGTGTAATTTTTTAATTTATTTTGCTGTACCTTATTTCTTGACTCTCTTTTTTCCTTTTCTGGATTTCCTTTCTCCAAATCTTCTCGCTGATGCAAGACAACAATGAAGCGGATAAAAGGCATGCATGCATGCATTTGCTTTGTGAGAGAAAAAAACAAAAATAAGTGGGGACTATGAGATAAGAGAAAAAAAAAATAACAATGTAGCAGTTTGCCAAAAAATGGAAGTGCAATACCTACGAAAAATGGCTGATTAGGGTTAGTAACACTTAAAAAATGGATGGAGTATGTACTGGTATAAATGAAGGAACTGTAATTATCTGCAGATGAAAAACGAAGGAAGTATTATTATCTGCAGATGAAATAGAGGAAGTGTGTAACATGACGGTTTTGGCGATGATGGCGGTGCTGGAGTGGTGCTAGTGAGGGTGGTGGTGGTAATGAGGTTGACAGTGGTGGTATACTGGGTGTATGATTGTGAGGTGGTGGTAGTTTAGGGAAAGAGAATGGAAACATGGAAGGTTGAATCAAAGTAAAGGAGTTTGGGGTTGAGGAGAGAGTAGGGAGTGAATAAAATGGCCTAACAAACAATAATAAAGAAGACCTGCTCTGTTGATTCTCTTAACCTTTCCTAAATCCCCTGTACCAAACACTCTAACTTCCTTTAGCTAATGCTTTTGCACCATTTGCTATGATTGTGCATGTGATCTTGCAATGTACAATTGATGTAACTTGTTTTGCCTTTTCAATTACTCGAAATTAATTAGTTCTTTTTGCAGATAATTATACCAAGAAGATGTTTCAGCTACTTGTTGCTGGCTACTCAACCATTAGTGTTCAAGATACAGCACTATTTTTGGGAATGACTGAAGATGATGTGACAAAATGTAAGTGTATTTGATCTCATATGACATGCTGATCTATCAGACCTTCAGACACATGGAAAATCATTATTTTCTTTCCTCTATTATGTAGCAATAGCACAAATAACATAAAATATACTTTAATGATTTTATTGAAGTGGTCTCTTCAACTAAAGCTCACTGTATTTTTTGTTTAATCAGTAATCTGGTAGAGTATTGTGTTTCATTCTTAAGATTTTAATATAATCAGTTCAAAATTCCCAAATATATTTGGCTAATCCCCTGTTTGATTCTTTTTCTTGTTTGTGTTAAGAACCCTGCCGTTAATTTTTTGTTTTTATTATATATATATATATATAAATATATATATATATATATATATATATATTATTGAATATCAGTCCCTCCAAACCATAATTTGGATCACTTTAATTTTTTAGATAGGCTTTAACTCTTCATAATGATAGGTTTTTTTTTTTTTATTTTTTTTTTTATTTTTTTTTTTTTATTTTTTTATTTTTTAGTTTTTAAATTATTTTAAAAAAAAATAAAGGATTTCCCAATGATTGTTATAAATTAACAATAAAACTTGAAACTGTAGTCTTGGAAATTCTTAGTCCAAGGATAGCTTAAAAATTCTGCAAAGGTCTATTGTTCCTTGATGCTACGATAAGCTATGTATTTGGTTGGTACATGTATATATTTAAAGCCTTTTAGGTTGCTGTCTTCCGAAGTCTATTATACTCAAAAGTTTATTCGAGTTAAGATCTATTCTATGCCTAGAAATGACAGGAATTTTGTCTAATTGATTAAACAAAGTATAGACTATATGAAATAAATATTTTTTGGTTTTTTACCCAGACCGCGATGCTTTTTATTTGATAACCTGAAGAACTAGAAGGCTAAATTACACCATGCTAACCTATTTTTCCAGCATGTACATACGAAGTACTCAAGTACCAAAATAAATAAATAAAATAATAAAGCTGTTCTAGGTCTCCAAGAATCATAGATAATGAATATTTCTGCTATGTCAACTCAAATTATTCTTGTTTAAAGAAGAGATCAGCTGCAAACCCTTGGGGTTTTTCATTAATAATTTAGTGATAGGCCCATGTATTGATAATTTCTCGCATGGAACTATGGAAGGCTTTCCTTTTTCACTTTTGCCTTTGCTGCTCTTTATAAACTAGAGTTTTGCCCCGATTTTGCGGTCTTCGTATAATAGACACGGATACATTTAATATGGAGCTGACTTTATTCAAACAATTTATCTATTACCTCCGTTACATGTTATTTGCAACGATTTGACATAAAGTAGAGAGGGAAAATGTCTAATCGTTGCAAATAATATGTAACGGAGATAGTAATTAACTCTGCCTGTGCCTTTTTTTCTAAGTTGAAGCTTTCTTTTTTTGCCAACTTACTGAATTAGGAAGGAAACCCGTAGCTGAAGCTACCAATGTCTTCTCCTAGTATTCTGCTCCCTAGTCCATGAATAGATGACACAAGCAGCCTTGATTTGCTTGATTTCCTTTATTAGTAAAGCACAGGTGATTTTTTATGTCAATTTCTGTCTATAAGCTAAATCAGCTTTGTGAAATGAATCATGTCTTTTACATTATCCACATACACCACTGTGACCCATTACGTGCTTTAGCTAAGATTAAACAGTCATTCAGGTATTTATTAAAATTGTCTTAATATAGTTTTCAAATATCAACTTTTTATATCTTATTGATATCATTGGTCAAATTGTTCACATTGGCATATTTACATTTGTTGGAAAGGTAGTTTACATTTGTTTATCTCTGACATGGTTCTTTTGTTTGTTTAAATATAGATGTTTTGGTGGAGGGTTGGTGCTTGGACTCTGCTGCCAGAATGTTCACTGTGAAGAAGCAATCTGTAACCACAGAACAGAAATTAGATCCCAGTAAATTGCAGCGCCTGACAGAATATGTTTTCCACCTTGAACATTAGCTGGTGGAGCTCCCCCCCTCTTCTCCCTTCCCCTATCCTACCTACCAGAAAAACGTGAAACTTGTTACGACAGGAAACATAGCATGGGTTGTACTGTAGGCACATTCTGAAGGATCAAACTCATTTCAACAGGGTGTTGAATCTTGCTCCTCTTCTAATTTTTCCGGTCATTTGATTAGTGTAAATCTGAAAATTCTTGCCAATCATCGAATGAAATTGAAGAAGGATAGGTTATGTTACATTATTATAATGCCTTTTTGATTACTGTAAGGTGCTTTGATCACCTTGTAGAAATCATTCTATGTTTGATGGCCTATCAAGAGTTACTCCATTATTTATGTACAAGCCCTGTCATGATTGGAGTTGCTCCAAATAAAGCCATCATTTATGTTAACAAGCTTTGATTAAATAAAAAAAAAGAAGATTACAAGAAGTTTGGGACCTTGAGGTTTTTACTGGTTGCTTGGGCCAAATACCTTTGAACTTGATCTTAGTAAATAAATTCATCAAAGATATTCAATAGTGATTTTCAGAGAGATTAATTAGTTACACATAAAGAGTTTTATGTACCTGATTATTCTAAAAGATTAGAAGTTACTGGAAATTTTCAAAGGAATTATTAAAACTTTTGTAACTTTTTCTAAATCTCATCTTTTGATGGTTCTTGAACTTTTACGATTAACCCCTGTGGCATAGTTCCTATAAGATTAGAAACATATAGGATGACAATTCTATTAATAAGTTGAAGTTGGTGTAAGGAAGTGGGCCAAAGATGCCAACATGTATGCCAACATGTATAACGGAGCAAGTAGCTGACTTTGCTAATAACGGAAAACGAAATGAGGAGCGGGAAATAAAGAAAGTTAATTCTCATTTCCTCTTTTTATTTTGTTTTAGTTATTCTCGAAAAACTCTGAAAGAGAAATAGAGGGAGTGAAGGTGGATTGAAGGTACTGTACTGGGATGAAAATGAAATCAAAATTGAATTTGATAGGCGTTGATAAATTAGGAGTGGATTTGACGAATTATTAATTTGATACTCCAATTGATAAGATGCGAAATCGGTTAGAGGATATATTGTGGGTGGATTTAGCTGAAGCCATGCGTGATGTTGAGGAAGGTGGTCACGGCTTCACAAGGGAGCTACGGTTTGATAGTGAAACTGTAAGTATTTGTAATTAGTGTTCATGTTTTGGGTAATTTTACCCATGCCACGTGACCCAATCAGCATTCAACACGTGTCATACCCTGGTTGGTCAAAATTTGGCCAATCTCTATTCGACACGTGTCCTTCCTAGAACTTAGGAGAAAAAGGCGGCCTTCAATGGTCCAAATCCCGAGAAAGCCGTAATCTCTATTCGACACGTGTCCTTCCTAGAATTTAGGAGAAAAAGGCGGCCTTCAATGGCCCAAATCCCGAGAAAGCTGTAATCCCGGCGCAACCCAAAATAATTAGGTCAGAGTGACCTAATCAGGGGCACATTTTCCAATGACCCTATAAATAGAGAGATTTCCCTCATTTTTGGGGCATCTACAATTATTATAGCATACCCTACATTCTCTTACATAAGAGAATCACCTCTCAGAATCCGAGAAGATCTCATCTCTTTTTCCGCACTTTCTCCCATTCATATTCAACTACTAAATTGATCGTCGGAGGCGGAGCTCCAACCACCCGGAGTCTCCGTTGTTTTGCAAGTACAGGCGTAGTCGAATCAGACCTCGAGCTGTAACTCTCCCGAGGGACAAAAACACCCAAAACCTTTGGCACCGTCTGTAGGGAGAGTACCTCAAGGATGGTTCAAGAGTTTGTACCACCTCTTGACCACCCGGTTAATCAGCCGGAGGTCTTTACTGACCATGAGGATGATGATCCTCAGGTCGAAACCTACATAGCCAAGGATGGCTCTCTGATTACTAAGTGCATCCTTCCCAGAGACACTCTGGAACGGAGTGCAAGCCAAGTGGGTACAAGCAAACCCCTGGTCAGCTGGAAGGGGAAACCCACACGGCAGGCGGATCCGCCCTAGTCACCCGGGAAGAACTCATGAAATTCATGACTAGTTTCAAGGGTGAAATCAAGGATCTGATCACCAAGAGCAGGGCATGCCCAAGCAAGGGTCAGTCGGCCAGAAATACTCCTCCAGAGAGGAGAAAGCCAGTCAGGGACAGGCAGCCCACTCCACATCCAAAGGACAAGGCAGTCGGGACCGTTGACTGATCCAAGATTCTTCTGCCTCAGAAGAATACAAGAAACCCCCGCCGGCGTTAAAAGCCAGCGGGAAACAAAAAATCTACTCCTGATGCTCGGGAAATCATCACCAGCAGGAGAAGTCAGTAGCTGTCTGAGTCAGCCTCTACTTCGAGCTTTCCAGACAGCTTCAAGAATACATCAGTAGGGAATACTCAATCCTTGCATGAGAGCCATACAGGCGATAATACCGTCCACTTTGGCCCTTAGATGATCGGGAATGCACCGTATGTACCCCATATGGTCTACGGTTTGTATTCCCCTCATTTCATCAGCCAACCCTCTTAGGGGATCAGGCAGCATATAACGTCCAACCTTTGGACTGGCAACTCCGACTGCTCAAACTTGGTGAACAAACTTCTGCGTTCTTCAAGGAGATAACTGAAGCCGCACAGCTGGCCAAGGTTAAGAATGTGTTGGTGGGTTTTATGATGGTACTACCGACCTGGAGGACCACCTCATGGCCTACTCCAACCTCATGCACATGCAGGGGCTGGAGGATGTTATGTGGTGCTGGTGCTTCCCGGCTACATTGAAGGGCATTGCCCAACAATGGTTTGGCAACCTGCCAGTCGGGTGTATCAATAGCTTCAGGAAGTTTGCCTTCCTATTTGCCTCCAACTTCTCGATGAACATCCCTGCCAAAAAGACAAGTCTCGACTTGAGCACCATCCGGCAGGGAGATAGAGAAAAGCTCCGCTCCTATGTCAGGCGGTTCAACCTGGTGAGAATTCAAATCCAGGGGCTGTCTGATGAGGTAGCCTATACAGACTTCTTCAAGGGTCTGAAGGACGGGTCGACCTTTAAGTTCGACCTTGTTCGTAAGAGGGTTTTCACCCTTCAAGAGGCGTTCATAGAGGCGGAGAGATTTATTCAAGCTACCGACCTTTGCTTGTCCAACAATCAGTCGGACTCAAAGAAGTCCGATAAGTAAAAGGAGAGTTGGTCCGCTCAGCCGGCTCAGAAAGCTGAAAAGAGAAAAAAGAGAAAAGAAGTTTGGGCGGTTGAAGAACCTGATCAGCCGTCCAAGAAGAAGAAGAAAGAATTCAAGTCGTATGTCTCGCGTATGAATTCAATAAAGATTGCTACACTATCTTTACAGTGGTAAAGAACCGGCTGATCATTGAGAAGCCGAATCCTATGAAGAGTTCCGTTTAGTCGCGGAACAAGAACAAATTATGCCACTTCCATCAGGAGGTGGGCAATGACACCAACGACTGCTACAGCCTCAAGCGTACGTTGGACCGTCTGGCCGACAAGGGCTTGCTGAAGTCCTATGTCTTGAAGTCCAACGCAACTTCTAAGATGAATCCGGGGCAGTCGTTAAAAACTGTCCAACTTACTAGTAGTTTGGATACTGATAATGATCTGGTCTACACCATAGCAGGCGGATTCGCAAGCGGTGGCCCGACCATCCGGGGCACCAAAGATCATCTAAAGAGGATGATTCACTCAGTTAATGATAGACAGGCGTCTTCGAGTGGAACATTCCCAGACATCCTCATCACTGAGAAGGATCGGGGAAAAGTTCGCCGACCACATGACGACCCAGTCGTCATTCAGTGCAAGGTCGCCAACCAGCTAGTTGGCCGTATCCTCATAGACACGGGTAGCTCTTCTGATCTCATCAGCTATAAGTATCTGTCCCGACTTAATCACTAGCGGGACGGTCTGCGCGGAGTCTCCCACCCATTAGTTGGCTTTGGGGGAGGAGTCGTGCACCCAGTCGGACAAATTGACATTTCCATCCGGCTGGGGGAGAAGGGACAAGGGCGACACATGGTCGTCCGGTTCTTGGTGGTTAAAGAGCTAATAACCTACAACATCATTCTTGGCCGACCCACTCTGAACGAGTGCAAGGCCGTCATCATCCTAACTCTCATGCTTCTCAAGTATGGAAGGGATGATGGAAGTGTTGGCTCCCTCAACGGGGATCAAAAGACGGCAAGAGAGTGCTATCTCTCAGACGTCAAGCCGATTTCTTCTGCAGCCGGTCAGCTGAAGGAGCCAATAGACCTTGACGATGTCAAAGACCCCGATTCACCCTCTCCAGTAGCCGCAAAGAAAAGAAAAATTGAAAATCTGGTGGAGGTCAAGAAGGAAAAGAAATAACAATCACTGACTGGGGAGCGGTCAGATGATCTCCATCCCCAGCCGGATGGTGAGCACATTGATATCCCTTTGGATGACAGCCGTCCAGAGCGGACGATTAAGGTGGGGACGACTTCCTTTGAAAGGCTTGGTGCAGACTTGCACCATCTGCTGAAAGAATTCAAAGACATCTTTGCCTTTGAAGTGGAGGAGATGTCAGGCATCATGCCGAATCTCGCAGTCCACAAACTAGTCGTGGATCCAAAAAAGAAGCCCGTCCGGAAAAAGAAAACAAACCACGACGAGGAGAGAAGTTAGGCGGCAGCTGCCGAAGAAAAAAAGCTGCTAGAATCTAGGTTCATTCGGCCATGTAACTTCCTCGACTAGGTTGTGAATGTTTTGCTTGTAAAGAAGCCGAATGGTACCTGGCGTATGTGTGTTGATTACACAAATCTCAACAAGGCATGCCAAAGGACAATTATCCGCTCCTAAAAATCGACAGTCTGGTCGACTCTACAGCCGGTCATGCCTTGATGAGTTTTATGGATGCCTACTCCGGCTTCCATCAGATACCCCTATGAAAAAAAGATCAAGAGAAGATGGCCTTCGTCACTGATCAGGGGTTATTCTGCTATACTGTGATGCCGTGTGGCTTGAAGAATGTGTCGGCTACTTTCCAACGAATAATTAATACAGTATTTGTTAATCAGATTGGGAGGAATGTAGAGGCGTATATTGATGACATGATAGTCAAATCCAAGCTACAGACAGATCACCTTGCTGATCTCTGAGAAACCTTCACCACACTCAGGCGGCATAATGTCATGTTAAATCCCAAAAAGTGTGTCTTTGGTGTTTAGTCTAGGAAGTTTCTCGGATTCCTGATTGATCAAAGGGGGATAGAGGCTAACCTTTAGAAGATACAGGCGATGATTGACATGAGGTCACCTCGCACTGTCAAGGAAGCTCAGAGGCTAACCGGTTACCTGACTATGCTTGGGAGATTCCTCAACCGGTTAGGTGACAAATGCCTTCACTTCTTCCAAGCAATCAGGAAGAAGAGTAGATTTGAATGGGGAGATGATGCTGAG